ATCACTGCTGCAATATCGGCCTCAAAGGCTGGTAAAGCTACTGGACCGGACAGATTAGGGAATGATTGGTATCGAGACTACTCGGACCTGCTGGTGCCTATTCTCCATATTTTGCTCAACGCATGGTATTCGGAAGGCGTCTTCCCACCCTCGTTTCTTGAGGCAAACATCTTCTGCCTAAAGAAATCCGGAAACCAACATGACGCACTGAACTATCGTCCACTGGCGCAGACTATAAGGTATTTACGAGGATTTTGGCAACACGGGTACGGGTAACGCTTCAAGAGAGCGGATTCATCACAACCAAAATGGATTCGTCCCCGGCCGGACTATTCATGAGACGCTACACATCTTTGAAGCTGCGCAGAAGACGATCAATGAGGGAGGTGAGCAAGACGATGCCCTCGTCATGCTTCTGGATTTCATGAAAGCGTACGACTCATTATCGCGCAGCTTTCTTCTCAAAACTCTCAGAAGACATGGGTATCCAGCGAAGTTAATAGAGGCTGTGCGACTACTGCATGACGGGACGACAGTGAGCTTTATGGCCAACGGATTCACTTCGCGCAAAGTAAATGTTACCAGTGGCATTCGGCAAGGCTGCCCCTTGGCTCCTCTACTCTTCATATTAGCGTTGGATCCCCTGTACAGGGAGCTCGAAAGGGACACTGGTATGAAAGGTGTGTTCCTGAGATCCGAAGGGGGCGAAGTGGAGGTGCGAGTTGCAGGCTATGCGGACGACACCGCGGTTTACTTGGATTCAGCGGCACAGGTGGTCGCTATGCTAGCGATTACAGACGCGTTTGGAGCTGCATCTGGGTTACAGTTGAATCATCATAAAACTTTGGTGATCGCCTTACGACGAAACGGACCGACCCACGTAATCTGTCTACCCCCTCCTTTGAAGTGGCTGACTTCTGACCAATACGGCCGATACTTAGGCATACAAGTCGGCAGCAGATCCGACCCTGAGCCAACCTGGCATAAAACGATTCAGCAACTCGAGGCGCGATTGTTCATAGCCAGTCAAAAGACAACGACAGTAGAGCAAAGGAGTCTGATTGCCTCGGCGGTAATTATCCCCAAACTGACTTACATCGGACAACACGCATGGCCTTCTACGCGTACAATGAATTTGGTGGGGAAGAAGATCAAAAACTATGTGTGGCACGGCTGCTTTGCAACTGAAATCAATGGGTCGAGGGCTTGGCTAGACGCGGACTTAGCAGCGTTGCCGAGAACGGACGGAGGTTTAGCAGTACCCGATTTGAGAATTGAGCTGATGGCGATGGCTGCTACGGCGGTTGCCAAATGGTCTTTTGGCGGTAGAGTAGAACACATTGTGGGGGACATATTGATGGCGGATAAGGCCCTCCAATCGATTCCAGCAATTTTCTTGAATACTAATGCAGTGGCGGTGCCATCGACTAGATTCCGCGAAGAAACACAATGTGGACAACTGGGAAGACGGTAATTACGGCGGTTGGATTTGACCTAGACGTACCGAGTCGCGAAAGCATGGTGAGCGCGCTCTTCCAACTGGCTTGTCACTTTGATGGGCTGGCACTACGCTGGGACGGTTTACGAATTGAAATTGCTGGGGATCGCATGCGAGGGTCAATCTGCCGGGAATTTCTCAAGACAGAAAAAGTAGTCCTGGGAATACAATGTGTTGAATGGCTGCCTTACATCTTCCTCGCGGATCTGCGCGCTTATAACGGCTATACCAGGAATCTGACAACACCGACAGATTTCAGTGCTCTAATGCCTATTGGTAACAAACTGCGGGATATTATACACTGGCGCTGCCATGGAGAAGGTCGAGTCACATTCACGACACTCTGTTCTGCAGCTCAGCGCAACATCACAAAAATTCGGAAGCAGTATGAACGGCTGATTGTGGTATTGCTAACTAATTTTCCAAAACTCCTGTACAGGGGTAACCATCACGGCGATGATGTGCACGTAGTCATCACACCTCCAAACTTGCCGATAACATTCGCGATCCCAGCGGGACACCCAGTAACAATTAACGTTCAACAAAGCAGCGCGCCCCCTGGCTGCATAATGGACGTTCGTACGCATCGTCAACTTACTGACTGCATCAAGCAGATACTGGGGGACGGTGTTCAAGTGCGACATGTGAACCCGCATCCAGCGCTCTCGTGCATGATCTGCCTTTGGGTGGGTAATCGGCGCTGGGTACTTCCGCGCAGGCTTTTCCGACAACGCATCGCGACGGCATCTCGATCTCGTGGACTGCATAGCCGGAATCGCCGTGCTGACAAATGGGAGCAACAGAGTACCGCCGCAGTGGCAGGCTTAAAGATGCTCGAATGGAACCGGCTGCGGCGAATCGTTGGACTAGGGCCGTGGGGAGAACAGCTTCTCCTGAGGCTGAAGCTGCAAGCTTTTTCGCTATATGACCCGGTGCGCGCACAGGTTGGATGCCCCATCAAAGCTGCATTCGACAAAACCAGATCGACTTGCATCATGTCTTCTGGTCTTGTCCCACCTCCGGGTTATTTTTTTACATAGCTGGAGGTCGGCTGATCTTAAGCAAGTGCAGCTTGAGAAATGGTTCTTGGGTTCACTCTCCCTCAAGTTCCCAGTGGTGTGTGGAGTTTAGCTGAAAAAATGTTTCCTCACCTCTCTGAGGCGGATGGAGTCAAACCTACCATATGCATTACCATGGAAGCTGAAAGCTGCTGGCGCATTGGTGTGGCTCTTTACTTCCACGCAGTATGGCGTTGGAGGGTAGCCTTCTATGACGAACTCAACAATGTAACGCTGGAACATCACACGGCCACATTTAACTCAAGGTTACGACATGGGTACGCAACAGTACATCTGCATCTTCGCTCTGGGCCGCATATTGACACCATGGAACGTGCTGCAAATGTACTGCGTACTGCTCTCAACTCCAAGTGGAACCCCTCGGTGGAGGTAGGTATTACTGGGTGTGTACACTACGTTCTGTTTTTTGATGGCGGATCCAGAGAAAATCCTGGGCCAGGAGGCAGCGGGGCTGTCGTGATTCGAATGGGAACTGACGGAGTTGGGTACGAAGTATGTTGGGGAATCGGTATGTCATACGCGGCGGCACGCACTACCAATAACGTGGCGGAGAGTATTGGGCTTACTGCACGGGCTCAAGGCTTGTTTACAGCACCGCTGGTATCCGCTTCACGTTGTAGGTGACAGCAACATTATCATCCGGCAACAACGTTCGCGAACACCTCCTCGAGCAAAACATCTCTGTTCACTTTACTGGAAAATACGTTGAATAGCCGACAAATTGGAAGTGCGAACGTGGCAACATCATCTTCGTGAATTCAACGAAATGGCGGATGCCCTAGCCAACATGGCTATGGACACCAAACAAAGCGTACAACGTCAGCCTCCTCCACTTTCGGGCACAGCTTCCAGGTGGAATGACGTTTCCGAACACTCATCGACTGACGTCGGTCATTGGAGGGAAAGACAGCAGCATGAGAACTCTTCGGAGTTCGGGGCCTTCACACCTTAGGGGGAAGCAGCTCTAGGTAAACTGCGCTAGAGCTCTAGGGCGAGCGGGTAGGGACGGTCGCCGACAAGGTCATAGGATGTCGTTAGCCACAGAAGTTAAGTGACAACAATGTACCGCAATGAGAAAACAATTCGTCATCACTGATCCGGAGGGTCCGGATTTCAGCCATCTCAGATCTGAAGGAGTTTACCGGAAAGGATATGGACGAAGATTGCGCCAGAGCATGGATCGGTAAAGTAAAATCAGCGTTCCAGCGAGATCAAGCAACCGAAGAGGAGAAATACCTCACTTTCGGGGATCTGATCGTGGGGTCAGCCAAGAACTGGCACCGACAGTTAAGTCAGACCACCAAGACCAAATGGGCAGATCTACTCGAAAGTTTCCAAACCCAATATTGTGGTCTGGGTACGTCAGTGGCGTGGCAATATTATCATGCCCGAAAGAGATCCGAGGAGACCCACTCGATTATCTGTATCGACTGAACGAGCCAAACTCAAGATCAAGGATGGAAATCCGAAAGCGCACCGGGAACACGTCGATCATTACATCGAAACGTTGGGCGATCCTGAATTGGCAGACCGCCTAGCACTATTACGACTGGCTGACGTCGACGAACTGGAGGAAGTTCTCCGTGCGCGAGAACGAGCTAAGAGTAGACAACGCCGATCTGCGTTCGGGTCGAAATTTCGACAGAAGGTCCCGACCGGCGCCCCGACAGCGCCAGCCCGTGCCGCGGTACGCGCGATCCAAACGCATGATCCAAGTTCTGAATCAGAAGGGGTTTCAGGATCGCACGGATCCGACTCGGAGGGAGACCTGCGAAGGATTTTCCTCGTTGTAGCAGAAAAGAAGTTGATCAGCACTGGGGGGCGTTCCGCAGAACCCAGATCCGGCGCGATCCCGAACGAAAGTGTCGGAGGGACCCCGGATCTCGGACCGCCGCAGCCCGGGAGACAGAG